CCATGGAGTACACTGGAGTCACTGCAACTTTGTAGCTCCCTTCTGTCAGTGATAGACTTGGATTACTTTAACTAGTCAGACATCAGGATAGCCTAGGAGTGGTTATTGAAAATTGGCTTTGGGGCAGAGAAGTAAAAGAGACACAGAATGTTTCTCTGAAGCTGAGGTCTGTGTTAGTAATGACAGACATTTCCCTTCTCCTCTTAGATGCCTCACTTCTAGTAATTTTTTTTTTTGTATTTTACAGCCATGCAGTGAACAGATTATTTTGCCACCAGTACACTGTGAAAGAGCCTGCACAATATATTTGTATGAATATAAGATATCCTTAGAGTATAGCTTAAGTGAAGCTGCATGCAGAATGAATCAGAGAGGTAAGAAATTCTTGATTTGACCATGTAAAAGTCAATATAAACCTTTTGTGTGCTGGTGTTGTAAGTATATATATTAAAAGAATAAAGGTGTGGGGTAGATCTCTGAACAAACCAATAAATAACCCATCTCCTTGGTTTATGTATTATGAATGCATTCTTTAGACCATTGCAGTGTGGCACCAGACAGTACTGTAGGCATCAAATGAAGTTATGAATTCCACTCATGTTCTAAATTTTTTTACAGTGTTGGGAAGTTACATTCATTGCTTCATCCAGTGACAACTCTGAGATGTAACCATGCAGTCAACTGGTCCCGCAGGTGAGCACACAGGTCTTGTAAGAGAGGGGCTGAGGAGCTGGACAACACCTTAAAAACAAAACTGAGAGCTTTTAATACTTGTTTTGCATGTTTTGAGGTCTTCTTACAAACATGCATCTTAAAATGTTTCACTGTGTACCAAATTAAATTATTATACTGGTAAAGCAGTGTGAGGTTTGGGACAAAAATCATGTTTAAGTGGTTGGAACCATCTTTTTCTGGATTTGGATTTTTATTTTTTAATTTTTTTTTTTTTTTTTTTCATGGGTTTTTTTTTGCATTTTACTTCTGTTATGATAATGACTGTTTAGAATACTCAAGCCTTGAGATAAAAGACACTCCAGCACAGAAGACTCTGGTTGACAGATGCTTTTTTAGGTACATTCAACTAGTGGCTTTGCCACAGACCTTTCAAGTAATCTTCCTCAATTAAATTAAGCCCCATGTCAACTGAAAATATTGGGGTTATTTCCATTTTCTCTCTGCTGTGCACTTAGCCTTTTGGGTATTTGATTGCAGTATAGTGGTTGTCCTATATAAAATGATGCCAAAATGAAGCCCTGATCTTAAATAGGGTCTGTAAACAACACTGCAATGTAACATCAATCCTTTGACATGGATTTGGTGGGTGTATGTTAAATGAGGGAACACACAGTTCTCTATAGTTTGAGATATCCCCAAGTCAAGTTTTGGTCAAATTAGTCAGGTGAAATCTGCTGCTCTGTATCAGACCCAGTTTCACCAGGCACTTTTTAGGCAGTATCTTAAGAATTTATGGGCAGCAGAAACAGCTTTGCAGATGATGTTTTGTATAGAGGAAATTTCTCCTATCTTAATGCTGCTGGTGAAGGTCTGCCTGCAGCTCTAGCTCTGCCATCCTCTACTCTGAATGGCCTTTCCTCCCTTCTGCTGCTTTCCCAGCCACCCACTGGTGGGATCAGTCAGGATGGAAAACAGGAAGAATTGCTGCAGGAAGGGGAGGTAAGGTGGAATGAAACTGACATTCTTAAACTCTGACAAATTAAAATCAAGTGCTGTTAATTAAAGATACCCTCCTGCCAGGTGTAGATTGGCCCAGGACTGAGCTGCTGAGAATGTTGGGGGCAATAAGAAGATTTAATTCAAACCTGCCAGTCTTTAAATTCAAAGCATCTTTGCTTTGGCTGCAAATGACCACAGCAGCTGTGCAGCCTGTGGGCAAAGCTCTGCTGTTTTCATGCCTGTGCCAGGAAAGTGCTCCTTATCCTGGGAGGAGGCACTGGGCAGAGCTGTGCTGAGCTCTCTGTAGAGCCCCCTTGGCCCTGAGGGCATGGACCAGGAACAGATGTGAACTGCTGACTTGGAGAATGAGAGAGGGAGTTCATGTGCAGAACTACTCCATGCTCAGCCCTGTTTGGTGATGTGTTTAATCACTCCATCACAAATAACATATAGAATTAATAACTTCATGTGATGTTCTTTACACCTGAGCAACTAAGCAGGCTTTTTGTTTTTTAATAACATATTGGATACAAATCACATGATCTTATGTGACCTAGACACTGTCACACTGAAGCTTTACATTTAAAAATTACAAGAAATATGCTGGACAACTTGGACACTATTTTAGAAAAGTTAGGCACCCATTCTGTGTTCCTAATGCAATATTAACTATAATATTAACTATAACTAGTTGTTTCCAGTTAGATGATGTTAACCAATCTAAAGATTTTAACTGCTTACAAGTCCTTGTTTTCATATAATGTGCTGGTAATGGTTTCAAAAACAAGTCAGTTCCTGTGAATGCTTCATGTCATAGAAATTAAACTTAACATCCAAGGCAATGCAGATCTTGCCTTAACAATTTGGTTCTGATCTTAGTATTTTTTGCTTTTCTCCTGCACACATATAGATAGTTTCCTATTTGGAAGCTAAAAGATGCAGGCAATATTTTTTGCTGCTAGTGGTGCATAATAATTATCAGAAACAGAACTCCAGCTACAGTGTTACCATATTGTTAGCTGAAGTGTTAAGTGTGCTTTGTTACTTCTTAAAATATATATGCTTGTAGATGTATATAAAAATAATCTCTCTTAATTATTGCAGAAATAGATAAATTGCTGCTACTATCAATACTTCATGAATATTGTGGTAATAGCTGCATTTAGAGCACTGACGGTGGCGAAACAGTTCCACGTTAAACCAAAATTACATGTATTCTCAGGATACCAGTGTGGAATTGTACTGAACTTGTGGAGTTTCTCATTCTCCAGTTTCCAGAGAGGACCAGTGTAGGTAATGGAAGGAACTTTATAAAGTCAGAGATTTCTGAGCTGATTTCACTCTGTAGCTGACTGCTCAAGTACCCCAGAGTCTGGCATCTCTTGCACCTTATCGTGGGGCTGGTGGCACATTGCTCATGGTAGGAGACACACAATACTGCTGTGCCCTGTTTCCCTCTTGATCCATGATGTCACAAAAGCATCTGTTTTATGAGGAAGTTTGTTGCTTGAACATGAGCAGTGATAAGCATTTGCAACCTGAGGGGAATGGATGATAAAACCATCGCTAATGTGTGCCAAGGATACAACTGGTACAGTCTATCAGTCACGTGAATTGTGATTGGCCTGTTGCAATGGAAATAGCCTTTAACAAAAACAAAATGAAAGCTATTTACCTTTTGAATGGATTTTACATAGTTGCACAAAAGGGAAAAGAAATAAGAAAGGAAAAGAGAATAGGAAAGAAGAGAAAGATTCCCACCAGTTCTTCCCCTCCAAAATTAGCATTGGCATTGGTGAAGTCACACACAAAGGAAAGTCTCACTTTCTTTGTGCTTCTCACAATGACATCAACATGCATGGCTATGAAATGATGAGAAAATATCTCACTCACAATGAGTAACAAATCAGAATTTTCTTCAAAGCAAAAAATGATAACACAAGACCATCATAGGTATATGCTAGCTCTTCCAAAACACCTGTTTTGAACTCTCTGTCAGCTGAGATCACTTGTCTGGTGATCTGTCCTTTCTAATACATTGCAGGGGGATATTCTGAAAAGGCTGAAGAATGTCTACTATGCAACTTGGCTGGAACATCTGCCAAAAACGAAGTTGGCGTTGTTTTCAATGTGGTTATCTACTTTCAAATTACTCCATAGAATAAATAGTGATATTCCATGGGTAGAGGTAGATTACGGGGTTTAAAAAATCAAATTGGAGCCCCGTAATTTTGTGTGCTATAGGAGTCTCATAGAACTGAGATATTCCCATAATTAACCACTAGCCATGGGATATTATAATATATTCCATGGTGACTAGTATTCTTCCCATTTCCCTCCCCCCTCCCAGTAGAATTAGTATGGTTAATTTAGCTCTGGTTTCACCTATTGCTAACATGAATCAGTACAGTTAAAAATAAGAATGAGGCAATCACTGTTTAGGCCAAACCAGCCAGTAATGACCAGTCAGACCTTTTCCAGTTGGCCTTTGCTGCTAGAAGGTTGAAAGAGCTGTAACTCACCAACCCATACTTGCAAAAAGAGCATGTTTTAGAAAATGTGGTTCCAAACTCTTCATAGTTCTAAATGCTAAACTCTAGTGGAATATTATAGAATAGATTTATTTGCATGCCATGGAATAAACATCCTTACATCTAGTCTTGTCTCAGAGTGAGTCATTTTGCATTAGTGTCAAGAATTTGAGCTGTTGTTCTACTTTGCAGTTAATCATCAGAAAGAGACTGGATTGTCTCATGAATATGCATGATGGTATAGTTGTCCCTTCAACTTACTAGGCACCTAGTTTCTGTAATGAGATGTACAATATCTGCCATTTAAAACAGCTGAAAGGTCCCAAATGGGAACAAATGAGAAAGCATCTGGCTGTTTCGAATTCCAGCCCTGTTTTGTCAGAAAGCTCTGTAATTGCTGAGTACTTGGCTCCTACTCTGCTCTATGAAGCATTCAGCTATCAGGAGCCTCTGAGACGCATTACACAGTCCAGCAACACAGCTGTAGAACTCTCAAAATTCTTCCACTAGATGTAACAGCTTTCCAAAATATCTTGAGACTTGTATGCCCTTAACCAGGACCAAAGTTTAGGCTCCTAGAGCGTGCTCTCATCCTTAGTTTTGCTGATCAGCCTCCACTGTACCATTTGTCCCTGCAACCTAGACTTCACACATATTATTCACTGTGTGATGGTGGGACTAGAATGGATAAATGTGCTACCCATTGCTCTAAGAAAGCAGTCTGGCTGAATCTTAAATCACTACGCGGGATGGAGGTTAACGGTCAGATGGACATTCCTCTAAGAGGTTTCCTACCTGCTCTGTTAATTTCTAAAATTTCTTCTTGGGCCAGTGGGCAAGTGTCGCTCTGAGTACTGTGATGTGGAGAGTTTACGACAGATTTACAATAATTGGGGGATCCCAGCTGGGGTGGCCTCGGGATATGCTTCTTTTTTTTCTTTGGTAGCTTCTGCTTAGCCATAGCTAAGGAGTAATACATTCCGAAATTGTTCACAATGACAGGGACAGGCATGGCAATGGTCAGCACACCAGCGAGAGCGCAGAGGGCCCCCACCAGCATGCCTGACCAAGTCTGAGGATACATGTCTCCGTAGCCCAGGGTCGTCATGGTGACAACAGCCCACCAAAAGCCGATGGGGATATTTTTAAAGTGTGTGTGTTTACTGGCACTAGGGTCATTTGGTTTAGCACCTATTCTCTCGGCATAATAGATCATCGTGGCAAAGATTAAGACGCCCAATGCCAAAAATATGATGAGCAGCAAGAATTCGTTTGTGCTGGCACGGAGGGTGTGTCCCAAGACCCGCAACCCGACGAAGTGGCGGGTCAGCTTGAAAATTCGCAGGATTCGCACGAAACGGACTACGCGGAGGAAGCCCAGGACATCCTTAGCAGCTTTGGAAGACAGGCCACTGAGTCCAACCTCTAGATAGAAAGGCAGTATGGCCACAAAGTCAATGATGTTCAAAGAGTTTTTGATAAATTCCACCTTGTTTGGGCAGAAAGTGACTCTCATCAAGAACTCAAATGTAAACCAGACCACACAGACACCTTCGATGTAGGTGAGAAAGGCTTCCGTCTCTGCTTCCCTGTAGTGCCGCACCTGGGTGTCATTCCCGATGAATTCAGTTTCTGTCTTGTTCACAATGGGGTTAAATCTCTCGTGGGTCTCGAGGCAGAAGGTGGTAATGGAGACCAGAATGAAGAACAGGGAGGCAAATGCCACATACTGTGGAAAGAAAGATATAAGAGAAATGTTAAACAGTAGGTTAAGTACGGGGGCTTTGATTCTGAAGCATCAGGGAGAGGCAAGAGCTGTATTAAATGTAAATATAAAGCCAAGCCTTCTTCCTGTGGGCTTAAGATGCCAAGTCTCACCTGCAAAGACAGCTTACATCCAGCCTGGGAGGGAAAGCAGTATATAATAAGTTCATGCTAAAATCCATTCTTATACAGATAGCACCTTAGTGTGAGTGTAAATTTAAATTAAGTCTCAGGACTGTCTGTAGGATTTAAGGTTAAAGACATATTGAAATTGTACTTTTCTGAACTTGGTTTCCTGTTATTTCCTTGCCTTAAAGAGAGAGTACACCTTCCAGGACAACTGCCAGGCAGTACTTTTCTCAGCATTCTCAGCAGTATCGCAGCTGCTCTCAGCTTAGTGAGAGCTGTGATATTTCAGATCTCAGAAAGGTGCTAGTAAATACTCGTGGCAGTCTCAGGTGGGCTCTACAGCAAGGAGCAGAGTCCTTGGCATCATCAGACTTTCTTGCCAAACCCCAGTCACAGGCTGAGAAGAGTCACATTATCAAACAGAGCTCTCAAATGCTTCTGTTCTCAGTTCCCTACTCTAGATCTTTTGGGCGTGGGGGATAGGGGGATTAAGGAAAGTGGTTTCAGATAAGTCTGTCATCTGATTCCAAAGGACACAGATCTATTGGCTTTCATGAGACACAATTTTCTTGAAGAGCTTCTCATTACTGTGTAAGACTTGTAGCCGGAATTAGATAATTTTTTTAAAGGTGTTGGATTACTATTACAATCTGGCCTTGAATGTTTCCAGGGATGAAGCATCCACCACCTCTCTGGGAAATCTGTGCTTGTGTTCCACCATCTTAATTGTAAAAATCTCTTCTAGTGTGAATCTTCCCTTGTTTAGTTTAAAACCATTACCCTGGGTCCTGTCACAACAGGATTTACTAAAAAAAGGTGGTCTTCTTCTTTCTTATGAGCTCTCTTTAAGTACTGACAGGGAGACCTTGTTGGCAGCAGTAAGGTCTCCCTGGAGAATTCTATTCTCCAAGCTGATCAACACCAGCTATTTTATCTTTTCTCAGTCTTTCTTCAGCCTAAAGGAGATCTCTTGTATTCCATGACAACTGAGGGGTACAGTCAGTGCAGTCAGGCCAAAATTCACAAGTCTTGTAACCACAGTTGCCCTGCTCAATCCTCCTTTAATCAATTAAGTAATTTGCACATATCTAAGTCTCTTTGTGTGTTGGAGTAGTATGGTCATGGGAATACCTCTTGCTATTCCACTCCCTATATCTGTTATCTTCTTGTTTGTCTTGCATGTCACCTTGACAAGAGATGTCATATAAGGTATTTCCCCTGTCTTCATGAGCATGAGCCACTGTGATAATAAAAATATTACCTAATACTCTTCTAGTTTCCTGTTACTCACAGTGTCCCTTTTCCAACAGTGTAGTCAACATAAGGGTTAAAAAGAACTAACTGGGTGTTGCTAGTGAATGCAGTGAAATAGTCTGAACAAAACTGCTGCCAAAGGAACAGACTCATTAAAAATAACCTATGCTTCAAACTATCAAAACTCTCTTGCAATCAAGAAGTTCCTCCTGTCTGCCTTCCTGGGTAGACCTAGTGCAGAATTACACTAGACTATATTACTTCTATATTAGCAAATGAAGTCAAAAGCTTGGGTTTGCCACATTTTGAGGCAAACCATTTAATAGAATACAAAGAAAATGGAAGAGAATAAAATCACAAAATCATTTAGGTTGGAAGGGCCCTCTGGAGGTTGTTTGGTACAACTTCAAAGCTGGACCAGGTTGCTCTTGCTTAGTCCAGGCCTGAGTATCTCCAAAGCTGGAGATCCCATAGCCTCTCTGTGCAGCTTATGCCAGTGTTAGGCCAGTAAGAGCAAAAGCTTGGAAGGATACAGAAGCAAACAGACTCTTTTGCTTTTCAAATTCAGCTTTCTTGTCAAAGAGGTCAGAACCATTGTTGCAGATTTAAACAATAAATCAATATTTCCCCCTAAAAACTTCAGGTTCTCACAGCACTGTTATGTGACAAACTGTTATACATGCTGATATGTGCTAAAATCAATGCCTAATATATCTGGGACATAAACAATATGAAGATTAGGGAAATTGAGAAGCATGATTTTGGGTATGTTTTTTTGTCAGATTCTCTTGTTAAAGAGGGAAGTTTCTCCATGCATTGTTTCTCCATCTGTAAAACAGGTGATGTTGATCATGTGCTTTGTGATCCTATATAAATGTGTGCAGGTTCTATATGCTTTTATCTAAATATTAATGGCTTTAATATTTCAACAGTCTTCCTGAAAAATCACTTTTGTGTATGATATCAATAGCACTCAGAGATTAATTGTCTGCATGTGAGTAAAACAAGGAACCAAAAGCATCTTGCACCAAGCAGTCAGGAAGATGTTCCTAGCAGCCTGATCATGTCTACTGTGTTCCAGCCTGGGACAGATTGTTGCACAGAGTCATAGAGCCCTGAGAATTCAGGCTGCAGAAGGAAGTGCTGACACTTCCTTAAGACAAGTCATACTCACAGGTGAGAAGGAGAGAGGGGAATAAAGCCATTTTGTATTTTAAGGGTTTATGAAGATGGCCCTTTCTTTATCCTGACTCCAAATGCAATCCTCTTTCTGGTGTATACAAACATACCTCCTGAGTGAGTTTTTACTGCTTAGGACAACCTTCAGGCTGACCTTGCAGAGCAAGTAACTTGAAACTGATGCTTTCTTGTATTAAAGAGAAAAAATAACCAATTCTGACCAGGCATTAAATTTTCTGCAGTGGTACAGGTTGGCAGTGCTATCGGTAGAGAACATCACACCCATGATCTCTCTCGTTGTTAGACCTTGTGTGCTCATACCTTGGCTTCAGAGTGTAATTGAGAGCTTTTAGTCCCCACTTCAGCAGAGCAGGAAGCACCTCCTAAATGAGTGTGAAGTGTCTGCTTCTTCCTATCTTGTTTTAACAGCATCCTTTCCCAGGGATGGGCATGTTTTTATAAGCTTTGTGGCTTTGAAAGCATGAGTCTGCTTTCAAGATTTCATTAAACTATGTCTGAGTAATGGTATTGACAGGAAGAATCCCAGTATTTTTTTCCAATTTAAGTGCAGAAATGCCTGAAAGTCAGGCCTGACAACTTGTTCACTGGCATCCATCTCTGATAGATTTATCACCTGTAGCTTCTTGGAACACAGGAATTTAGCAGTTTACCACAAGTATCACTGGCATAGATTTATGTTTGTGATCCTCAGTTTATATTACTCTGGTCCCTTCTTTCTTCTGAGTATTTTTTTTTTGTTAATTATCTGAGGTTTAGCAAACTAAGCATGATCTAATAGTACAAGAATTGGTGGGTAGGCTTTTCTAGGCAGACCAGCATTAATTTTTTGCCAAATATGTGAAAAAAACAAAGAGTTCTCCTTGGCCCACCATCAGAGGCCCATTAAGCCTAACATGATAGCTTGTCAAATCCAGAGATGGGTGGTGCTGATAAAATCTGGTGAAGACTATGAGACTCACACGAGTTCTATTGTCTTTGGAAATAAGTCTGTCTCTTTTTATTTCACTAATAATCTAATAATTGAAATTAATAATTCTAATAATTGAAAACTAATCAAACCAATGGATTGCTCTTGTATAATTTAGTGGTGCTTAATCTTCTTTCTCTTTACATTTTACAGCAGTTTCTCTTCTTCCTAGGATCTGAATGGGCTGAGGGAAAGGAGTGAGAATTTAAGAAGTGATGTCACATGCTGTTGAGTTACATAATGGCATCTAAAATTTTCTATAACTAAAGAATATACCTAGAT